CCCTAAATAGCAATAATAATAATTATTATTTGATGTAAAAAAAAGTTTATGAGAATCATTTTATATATTTTTCCATAGCTTTACATTTGAATTTAACAGTTCAATCTTTCAAATAACGGACAGATATTTGTATAAATCATGATACATTTGTGAATGTATTTTAACAATCTAAATATGCATATGTACAGACAGATACATTTAAAAAACAAGAAAATTATGTTTTATTACATTACAGTGATTTTGCGTTAATTTACATTTGAAATGTGGAATCACAGTCTATTTATGTAAATTTAATGATATTCTAAGAACAGAACAAAACTGTAAAATACTTTTATATTAGGATTTTTTTTACAGTGCACCTTTGTGCTCGAGGCCTTGAAACTGCCAAGCAGATGCACTCTCACGCAGCTCCTCATTTCCTGATAATAAAAGAGAAGACTGCAACATTAACTAGATACAATAATCTTTAAATGTCTGGATGAAAAAAAGGAAAGATATCATTTATGTTCTTTTTAAATAGTCGACCAAAAGGAACGAATGTGTTTTTAACATTTAATGAATTTTAATTATGAAATAAGTGTAAATTTTTTAAAGCATTTTGTTATGAAAGCTGAGAATAAAGTGAATAAAAACTTCAGATGATAAACAACCGTAAACTTTTATTTCATTTCTTTCATTTCTTTCCCTTTTTTTCTCCAGGCAAGGACTTTGTGGAGAAACACAGAGGCCAGCTGATCCAGAGAGTGAGCAACATCGCACTCATTTTGGATGAGCTCCTAGACAAAGAAGTTATCCAACAAGAAACTTATACCAGAATTAGAGCTCTGTCTACCTCTCAGGAGAAGATGAGGGAGCTCTACAGTGGTCCCCTGCAAGCTAGTGCTGCCTGCAAAAAGATCTTCTATGACAGCCTTTTGGAAAATGAGAAACCTCTCGTTAAAGAGCTCAGTGAAAAGGATTAAATGTGTTGAAAAAACAGTTTTTAGACCAAATATACATCTACCAATATCTACCAGAACATAACATGATTACATTAAAAAGGTATAGATGCCTTTTCTTTGTGGGGGTTTTATTTTACACTTACATTTTTGTAAAAACTGTTCTCCTATGTGTTGCATTTGCTCCTCAGTGGCTCCTTTAATTGATTCATTTTACAGGAAAAACTATGGATATTTGAAAGTTTGATATTAAAAAATGTAAATGTTATATATGTTAAAAATGAATCAGCGATGTCATCAGCCATGTTTTTATCCAATCACGTTCTATGTTACTCGTTCCCAGGCGTGAGAGCGGGTTGAAATTGATAAATGTAAGGTGATGGT